GTAAACCAGGAAATGTCCTTCATCGCTCACCAGATCTATCAGTATTTTGATCTGAGACTTCGCATGTGATCTAGGACTGTGAGAAGTAAATTCCTGTGTTTTAGAAAGCTCCCCAGTCTATGATGTTTCATTACAGCAGCCTGAAGTGACTAAGACCTCAGCCAGAACTGAAACCATGTAGATGATGGTGTTGTGGAGACTGGTGAGAAAGGCCTGCAGATTCCATCCCCTGCCCTTACTACAAGCTGACTGTCCTCCAGCAAAAGAGAAAACACTGCTTGGCCATCCTTTACTGTCCTCCCACCCACTTGAACCCTACGAGCATCCTAGAATAGTTTAAATTTTTATCACAAAGTTGCTTATTGTAAGCAAAAAAGGTAACAAGAGTGGAATGTTCACCTTGTTCCAGGCCAGTGGTTCTGAACCCCAGTGATTTTGGGCCTCCCCTGTACACCCCCAGCAGACATTTGGCAATTTCTAGAGACATTTTTAATAGTTGCAACTGGGAGAAGGGGATGCTACTGTCCTCTAGTATGTAAAGGCCTGGCCTGTTGCTCATCACCCTACAGTGGCCAGGATCACCTACAGCTAAGTGTCAGTAGTGAGAAGATCTGCCATGTTCGTGTCAGGTATGTTTCACTTCCTGCAGCCACCCTGGAAGCAAAGCAATGCCATCATGCCATCCTCCTTTCATTTTTGCAAGAATCTGAAATAGATCCAGGATCTGAGCCCGGATCTGTCTCCACAAAAAGTTGCCGTGCCGTATTTTTTGTCTGTGGTGGAGACTGAGTAGAGATGGAGATGCAGGAGGGGCTGGGAAATGGGGGGAGGCAGGTAACCCCACCCTTTCCAGCTTCAGGACAAGGTGGGAGGGGCCTGCATCTGTCTCAGTGCTTAGAATTCAATTTGTCCTCGAGGTGGCCTCCCTTGCCACCAGCTGGACTTGCCAACCCGGGTCCAGCAGCTTATTTTCTCTCACTTTGCACCTGAGCTAATGGCAGTAGCTGTGACATTGGTTTCCTGTCTTAATTACCTTCCTAATTTGTACTCATGGTGGAACATGGGAAAACGAGCTCCAGTCAGCATTTTAACTCGGTTCCTTTTCCAGTGGGTGGGTTCCTTCCACCATCTGTTGATCTCAGTGTCTGCCTTGGTTTTCTGATTTATGTCCTTCCATGTGTGTAATTTGTCTTAGCCTCTCATCTGTTTAGCTCCATGTATCACAGCTACTTTCTGGCATGGTATGGAGTGCCTTCTCTTCCCGGGCTACCTTTTCCTCCCCCACTCTCCCCACCCCCAGCTCAGCATGAGTTGGCAGCCTCTATGGTCAGTACTGTTGAACCAGTGGGCAGTGGGTTCCTTCCCCAGGCTTCAGGAGAATGGTGAGGACGGACCTGCCCCTTTGCAAACCAATCCCCTGCCACTGGCCTTGCTTAGGTGCAGGGGGCCGGAGGGACAACATACTGGCTTTGCCCTGCCTCTGTAGGGCAGAGGAACTCAGATGCTAGCACTTGCAGCCCACAGGGCCATGTCACACTTGGCGGAAAGCCGCAAGCTCAGGTCAGCGAACTTGACATCAAAGGGCACTTGGATAAGGGCAACAGAAAAGGGACGGAGGTCCACGGCCGGCCAGGTTCTGTCCCTCCACAGCCGGACCACTTTGGGTGGTTCCCTTTCCCACTCCAGAGCTTGGTGAGCGGGGAAACATCAAAGTGCTCAGGCTGCATGGTAAACAGCTCACGGGGTTTATTTAGCTAATTAACATAGATCCCCTTGCTCTGGGCTGCACTATCATCTACATCCCTAAGTAGAGGAAAACTTTAACAAAAGCGCCAGCCAGCTGCTGTTTATGGTTTAAAAGAGCACATTTTTTCAAAGGAAGAGATCTGCAGTTCCGGTGTCAGGAAGAGCCCTGAGTCCTTCCCCAGCTTTTGACATCTCTTAGGGTGGTGGGCCAGGTGTCCCTGGGGAAGCTCCTTGCCCTGGAGACACATTGCTGTCCATGATAGTAGAGTGAAGTGTGCTCTCGCTTGTGTTTGTGCAAAACGAGGCTGATGACAGCATGTTTGTAAACATCCATTGGACCCCTTGAGGGTTGGAAGCCAGGGGGTGGCAGTTCAGACATTCCCTAGCCTTGTGTCCTGGGAGGTGGGCAGCTTTGCACACAAACAGGCTGTCCCACCAGGTGTAGTGGCACAAACCTATAATGCCAGCACTCTGGGAGGCTGAGGCAGGAGGATTACAAGTTGGAGCCCAGCCTGGGCAACTTAGTGACTTAGCAAAGCCCTTTCTCAAAATAAAAACTTAAAAGGAGCTAGGGATATTGATAGTTGCAAAGGCTCTGGGTTCAACCCCCAGTATCACCAAGACAGATGGATAGATAGATAAATAAATAAATAAATAAATAAATAAATAAATAAATAAATAAATAAATGCCATCTCATTCCTGCATCCTCACCTCAGTTTATTCTGAAATTCAGCTCTTGCCAATGCCAGGCAGATTCCCAAAGGAATAAGATACTCACTCTTGCTACCCCTTTTGAAGCCTGTCATATATACTAGCAAATCTTAGAAAACTGAGCATGTTTTCAACCCTCTCCCTAGAATTGTACCCTCCCCTGCCCACTGTATTGTCCACTCTTGGGGGGAAGTTCTGGAAGAACAAGGAAAGACCAGAAACTGCGGAGAACGCAAATCCTGGACCTCAGAATCTAGAGCAACTTTTGTCCACCACCCAGCTCCGCATCACTTTTCATATCTGTCCTAGAGCCCGGAGGTGACTGTTCCCACTTGTACTTTGTGTAGAAAGCAAGTCACTCAGGGTCTGGCAAACAGATGGACATCACTGGCATGCAGAAGGCCACTCTTACTTTGCAAGGGAAAGAACCCTGAAGAGATGAGCATCTTGAAACAAGGCCTGACTTGGAACCCAGTGTCCACCTGAGGGTAAGATTTACCCAGTAAGGACTCCACAGATGGATGGCCTTTATTAAGAACTGACACCAGGTACCTTAAAGACAAATGAAAATGAACAAAATTTTAAAACCTCTATTGGGAGAAGTCTGATTGCTCTGGCAGTGTTGACTAGCTGGTCCCTCTTTCCCTCAGGCTTGTTGGAGGGATTATTTGGGGACCTCTCTGTGGTGTGCCTGCATGTGCACCACGCATGCTAGGTGGTCAGGCTCATGCACCCCAATATTGTCAGGAGGTATCAGAAAGAACTCTCTCTCCCAAACATATAGTTTCTGAAACTGGGGATGGCTCAAGAGTCCCACCAGCTGGTCTCTGAGATTTCCTTTCCTTCTAAAGTCCTAGAACTCTGTATTCCAAGTGAGCTGTTAAAAGGAATATGGGAAGATATTGAGTGGGGAATTAGAATCCAAAATTCTCAACCAGCAGTTTTTGCTGATCACAAGTACCCATAAGGCCCCACGGGAGATCAAGCACAAAGGAACCTTTTATGCCCGAGTATGGTCTTCAGGCCCCAGTGCATGGGGGCCTCTTGTGAACAAGACTGGGTAGCAGCTGAGCTCCTTCTCCTTAGCACAGGACAAGCTTAAGCAGCCTTTTTGTTTCCCTGCATCTTCAAGACTCGGCTGAACAGTCACTGCATCCTTGACCCTGTCTAGCTGAACAGGATGCAAGGAAAGACAGGAGCCAGAGACCATGCATCTTGAAAAAGACAAGCCCTCTTGCCCATCCATTTTCCCTCTTCCTCCTTTGTCAAAAAACTCCACTCTGGCACCAAAACCCTTGGTGCTGATTCTGACAAGTCCTGGTTGTTCTTCTTCTGTTGGATTGAAGAGACCTGCGAATGCCCCCTTGGATGTCTGGAGGAGCCATGAGGCTGTGCTTTTGCTCCTTTGGTCTCTGGGCACCAGGCAGGATCCCCCTTCTGCACCTAACCACAGGGATGGTGCTGGCAAACCTGGCAAGCTCCTGAGCACCGCCAGACAGGACAAAATTCCTTTGTCCAGCTTTGAACTTCAAGCTAGACTGTCACAGTGCCGTCTTTGGGTGGATCCTGAATCTCCCTAGTGGGAAGATGGTACCTTGGACAGCGTTGATATTCTTCAATGAAGGTGGTGATGCTACCACCTTCCAGCTCTTTAAGATGAGGCCTTCATTTATTCAAGTGGCAAACCAAGGCTCAGGGAGAGTGATTAGGGAGGGTCTTTCCCTTCCCCCAGGAGGTTATCAAGACTGGCCTGGATGTGCTATGAAGGCTGAGTGTTCTGACCCTGGGGCCAATGTCATCCACGGTGGGCCCTTATCCTTGCATGAGAAGAAGTCTCCCAGCAAGGGCTTCCCTTCCCAAGTTAGGAGACAGAGGCTCCATGAAGGAAAGCTTCTGCCTTTCCACTCTTCTGTTGCTGGAACATAGGTGAGGTACTTGGAGGGCCACAGTCACTTTGCAACTAAAAGAACCCAATTGTTAAGGATGGTGGAGCACAAAAACCAGAAGAAACCTGTGTCTGCAGTGACATAATTGGGTTGCCGGGTCAACCTTGGACTTTTTATTGCATGAGATGATGAGCAAAGCTCTGTGTGTTTAGGTCAAGAGTCATCAAATTTCTGTGAAGGAACAGACAGTAAATATTTTAGGTTTTCAGGATATACAGTCTCTGTCACCACGACTCAGTTTGGCTGATATGAGATAAAATCAGCTGTAAACACCCCGTCAACAAATGAGTGTGGCGGCGTGCCAATAAAACTTTATTTACACACACTAAAATCTGAATGTCAAATCATTTTCACGTGTCACAAAATACTATTCTTTCTTTGATGTTTTTGAACAGTGTTTTAAAAACATAAAAAAATTCATTCTTAGCTTGCAGGTTGCACAAAAACACGTGGCACGTTCAGTTCCTGTGCTGTATTTTGGGCCCTGGTTTATGCTCAGTTGACTTTCTGTTTCTGGTAGCCTAAAGCTGGTGATGGTGATATTCCTCACCAGGGAATTACTCCTAACCCTTCCTGCTTTTCTGTGTCTGTTTCAGAGGGTCTTGCTGTTGGAGTCGGCTTTGGGGCTGTGGAAAAGACAATATCAGCTACCTTTGAGAGTGCCAGGTAAGCCCGCGCCTGGCGCCCTGCTTTGGTCCTGAACCTGCGGATGCTCTGGATATGCTTGTCACCTGGGCCAGCTGCCTGCACATGATTAGTAAGCTCCTGCAGCCCCATGAGGCTGAGGAGGGCATGAGGGCAGGGAGTCGCTCAGTCAAACAAGCAGGTTTGTACTGACTTTGTCAAAGACATTAGACTTTGTACTAATAGGGAACTGTTGGGAAAACAAAATACGACATAATTGCCCCGTATAGTCTAAGCACATTCCATGTGCACAAAGTAGAGGCAGAAGTATAATGTAGTCAGCAACTGACCCTCTCAATGGCTCCTTCTCAGGAAACCCTTCTTCCCTCCTGTCTCTTGGTCCTCCTGGTCCCGCCTTTTTTGATTTGCTCCCGGCAGGGCTCTTTTGTGTTTCTCAGGCTGTAATCCATTCTCTAATGTTGCTGTCCCTAGAGCACTCTTTCTTCTCATTCCCTGGGCAAGCTTCTCTATTCCTGTGACTTACTGTCCATCTGTCTTCTAGTAACACTCATGTCCACCCGCAATATAGATTTGGCTCCTGAACTCACTCCCACGTGGCTCCTTCCCAGATATCTGAGCACTGGTGTTTCGCAGGATCCCCACACACAGCATTTCCGGAGTTGGGCTGACTGTCTCCACCTGCTATCCTGGTGGGACCTGCCCCTCCTTCAGGGCTCCTTATTGCCACTTTGCTGGCCGACCAAGCCAACTCTACTTTGAAACCTCACCTTGCAAAGATACTCCTCAGGCCCTTGAAATGTTTCCTCTCATCTGCTTCCCTTGAATTGAACACAGCTTTCACAAATTTATAGCCTTGGGATCACATGATATCCTTTAGACGTCACAGAGGTGAGCTCAACATGGTCCACCCAGTCCCATAAAACCCTGACTCTTGTACCATCCAAGCCAAGAGCCAGCAGGATGGAACCTTCAAAGGCCCACAAACTCACCTGCCCTCAGGGAGCTAAGGGGAAACAAGAATGAGTGGAGACAACTAGGTCCAGTTGTTGGAAATGGAAAGGACCAAGGTGACCTCCCGAAAACCCAAGTACTACCTGAAGGCACCTGAGTTTACAGTTACTGAAAAACATCTTTCAAGCAGATGGCTCAAGATCATCTAGCTAGTTTTACTACCTTCAGATGAGCAATCCCAAAGCCTGCCCTCCCCCTACCCAAAAGGAAGTGAAACAACTTCCTGTGATAATCAGCCCTGTGTCCACTGGCCATGGTTATGGGGAACTCACTTCTTACATGACCCCTTTTCTATTCTTCCTTGGATGCTAAATTTGCATGAGACCTCTATACAACCCACAAGGTCTGTGTTTACATCACCCCTTGTGTTTCTCTGGAGGAGGTAGTACCCGCTGTATGTTAAAGGTAGCTTTTGATGATTTACAGAGACAGGTCTGTTCCATGAAGTCCCAAACATGCATAGAGCACTGCCGTATATTAGATCAAATGTGTCCTGCTTTCAGCTCCTACACCTGCCTCTCAGACTCTCCGATCTTTTCCCCCATCCTCATCATCAGCACCACCATGAAAATGATGCCTAGTGTGAAAATGAAGAGAGATGGCAGATGAGGAAGCAAGGGCCTTTAGAATGCAAGAAATGTCACCAAAAGCAAGGGCTCATAATGACTCCTAATACCCTGCAGACTGCCAGCGTGGGCCTGGGTAGAGGGAGCTTGGTTCTCTGCCCCTTGGCATAGCCACTTTGATCTTGACATCATTAGACCACAAGAAACTTCCGTGTCAGGCCATGTCCAGAGGGGTAAAGAGCCCAGAATGGCTGACCTTATAAGCAATCAAAGGCCAGGTCTTCCCAGGGCACAGGGAAGTGTGCACGCTACACCAGGTCTATGCCCGCAAGTGACAGCCAGGCCCCAGGCATCACACTCCCAGGCCAGGCTCTGTCTGGTGGCACCATGTCCCCTGTGACATCTCAGTGTCAACTTAGATATCCCTCGATTCTGTCACCTGCACTTTCTGCTAATCTGTATAAATATTTCTGAAGGAAGTGGAGCAGAAATATTTCCAGCCCAGCTCCTCTCTCCTTTCCCTCAAACAAGCGGATTCTCTGTGTTATGTAAACCTCTATGGGATCCTGCAGCTGGAGTGGGGTTGGACTTCCGGCCTTGATATTTTCTATCACTTGAGACCCTCTGCCACACAAGCATCGCTGGGGGCTTCTTAGACCCCCATGTCCTACCCTTCCATCCCCTGTGATAGCCTGGGGCAGAGTTGGAGCTCTGTTGGCTCTAAGGCCACCATATACAGAGAATTGGGGGTAGGCTCCCTGCAGTGAAGGCTACAAACAGAGAGTGAGGAAGGAGGACCCTCACTCAGCAACCCACATCCTTCAGCCTCGTTCCCCCAACTGGAAGCTCCCATCAAGTTTGTAGCTTGTCTTCTCCCCTTCCATATTTGTGGTCTTACTCTTGGATGCTATGTACGGGGCAGCCTCCAAGCAAAGCTTGTTAGCTGTCTTCTCCTTTAGCTCAAGTGTCAGCCCAGGTTTCACGAGGGGAGAGGGATCAGAGGGGAGTGGAGAGTGAGAACTCCCCACACAGGTGGTCAGAAGGGAGAGGACTTGGTGAACTGGACAGGACACAGAGCACTCAACCAAGAGGCATTCGGCACCAGTGAGGTACCTGCTCATATGGTGAAGTCTCATCACGCTGGGGATCTGGGTCCGGTGCCCATCTGTGGGGTCTGGAGAGGGAGGCCCCTCAGGAGGCAGCAGGAGATAGGTGGTATTCTCTGAGGCAGGGGCTGGCCTTAGGTCACCATCTGCAGCTCTAGCATGAGACTTCTGCTCAGTCACTGGTGTGAAGTGCACTCCCACTTGCTCTCTGCCCACTCTCTGTGGAAGAGATGAAGATGGCAGCCAAACTGTAAGATGATGAAAGTAAGAGAGAAGCCCTGATGGGGTGAGTTGCTGGTGAAATCCTGGTGTCCTTGGGGTTGAACAGGCCAGCTGGAGGCATGACCACTGGGACCTAGAACACCAAGCAGGGAGACCCTGCATCTGCTCCCTGCCTACTTGGAATCTCCCAGCCTCATTCAGAGTTTTGGTTAGGAGCTCACCTGGCTGCAGATGTTTAGCCTTCTTCTGAGCTATCTTGCTATTCATTCATTCATTCATTCATTCTTAGTAAGTACCACTAGGTGCCCCTTAAACACTGGTAGTCACTGCAGACAGCACGATTTGTGTGACATAACTCTTTCTGGAAACTTAAAATTTTCCACTAGAACTTCCAGTAGCATGGTAACTCAGCTGGTGTCAATGGCCTACTGTAAACAAACCCAGGAACAAAAATGGCTTTTAGCACACAGCCCGGGGATAAGGAGAAAAAAAAATACCAATGCTTGTGGCACAGGGAGGAAACAAAGGGAGGGTGGCAAATACAGGTTTAAGGGGATGGAGACGTGTCTCCGACCATGAATGTCAGGGAATTAAAACAGTCCTGGCATGACCACTAGGGCTTGAGGGTGCCACTTATGTATGAACAGGTCTGTAAATCTGGTCCAAGAACCTGCACGTGTAATGTGTCTCTCCCCAGGATCTTGGACAGAAAGAAGGGGTAAATGCTGGTGTAAGTCATCCGCAAGATATCAACACACTAGACCTGCACCACACCACATAAATCTTTAAGGGTACAAAGTCATGTCCTCTATCTCATCCCAGAAACCCCTAATAAAGAGATTAACATAATAAATGTTCTAGGGTAATAGAAATTTTCTAGGCTTTTGCCAAAGCCAACATAAACCTTCTCTGACAAATCCTCCCACTGATCAGGCACACTAGGGACTGGAGAGCAAAGAAGGGGGCTCTTAAATATAGATAAGATTCTACTAAAATAAAAACATCAAATAGGGACACACTGCATAAGGCAAAAAAAAAATCATTGAGGAAAGATAGCAATTACAAAGCCAAAGATATAATAAGACTATGTGAGAAAGATATCAGTCAAAGCCAAATTGAGGAACAACATATATGACTAGCTTCATTACAACTGTCAACATCATCAAAAACAAAGACTATGAGAAAGTCATAGTCCAGAGAGGGCTAAAAAGACTAGATTGAAGGTGCTTTCCTGCATAACATCTTGCTACAGAAAAGAGACTTCAGGGAGGACCTGGTGTGATCCGAAAACACTGTGGAGTGTAGTTAATAATAGTGTACCAGTATTGCTTTCTTGGTTGTGACAAACACATCACTATATGTAAAATATTTAAGGGAAGTAGCTGCAGGATATACAAGAACTGTGTGTACTATCTTGGAACTTTTCTGTATACTTAAATCTAATATGAAATAAATAAAGGTTTCTTCTTTAAAAACCTACACAAAGCTGCAGAAATGAGAGTGCTGTTTAATACTTCATAAGGAAAAGAAATTACAACAATAAAATATAACAGCTTTAGTAAAGAACAGGCAGATTTGAAAAAAACAATCACCTAGAACTTGTTAAAATGAAAAATGGACACATTAAAACAAAAACTCAATGGCACAGTTTACTGAAAAGGTATAACTGAAGGTAGAATTAATAAAGTGGATGATTGAACTGAGAAAAATCACTCAGAATGCAGCATACAGAGAAAACAAGATGGAAGCTATGAAAAGTAAATTAAGAGACCCAGAAAATAGAATGATAAATTCAATATTAAGTAATAAGAATCACCAAGGGAGAGAATAAGAAAAATGAGGACAATATTAAAGCATTACAGAGGAGAGTCTTTCAGGAATGGAAAAGACTTGTTCAGACTGAAATGGGATTCACGATCAAGATAATAAATATCATCAGATCATCATGTAGACATGCTTTCCTTCTGAGCACTGGCAGCTGGGAAAACCTAAAATAACAGTAAAGGAAGACTGCGCCTACCTGGAAATGGTAGACCTACAGGAGACTTCTGGGTGAAAGCAGAAGACTGGGCACTGCTGTCTCACAGTGCGTGGGGACATGACTGCCATTCTAGGG